CGGCCGGGCTCAGGGCAAAGGCCCATCCGGCCAGGGGCCTGTCTGCTGCCAGTGGCCAACGCCTGGTGCCCCAGGGGGAGAGACCAGAACAGGGAACCATCGTGGCCCCTCCCGTCACCCAGACCCAGTCCCTGACAGAGGCGAGGGACACCCCCCGCCCCCCGCCCTGTCTGCCTAACAGCCGCTGATGGACCCAACCTCCATGACTCGCTCTACAGGCGACCCCCAACCTACGGCACAATTGGTTCCTGGGGAAGCGTCGCAAGTCGGGGGCATCGTAACTCGAACCCCCATTGACGTCAGGCACCGGGCGCCATCGTAAATGGGGGCCGAGGACGTAAGTCGGGGGGTTTCGGCTCCTTCCGCACATAAAAAATGGTTGTGAGTGCGGGGGAGGGGAGGTGACAAGTTGGGGGTTTCCTGTGGTTCTTTTTTGTACCGTTAGGCTGTGTTTACACTGGCAGGTGCCTGCACAAGAACCCACAGAGCGTCCACAGGGCCCGCCTGCTCTTGTGCAAGATTTACAGTACGGCGTGGGAAGAGAGGGCTTCTTGTGAGAGAACTTGCACAAGAGGGCAGTGTGGATGGGCAGCAGGGGTTCCTTGCACAAGAAAGCCCTATGGTGGCTAAAATGGCCATCAGCGCTTTCTTGCACAAGAGAGCATCCACACTGCCATGGACGCTCTTGTGCAAAAGCACAGGCCGTGTGGACGTGTTCTTGCACAAGCGTTCTTGCACAAGAGTCCTTCTACCAGATGTTCTTGCGCAAGAACCTGCCAGTGTAGACGTAGCTCTAAAGTCCTGGCCTTTATGTCTCGCCTGCATGCCGGGGAGGGCATCTGGGCTGTAGTGGACATGCCAAGCAGCCAGAAAAGCTCCAGCCCTTCATATACCCTGCGTACCCGCCGCCTGGCAAATCTGAACCTAGAAGCTCTGGAGGCAGGCGGCTGCCCCGGGGGCTGCGGAGGCGGGTACCTGCGGCTCTCACGCGGATGCCTGCGATTGCACGATTCTCGATACACGTCTTGTATCTGCATCTGTCAAAAGGCGCCGGGAGATCCGCGGAGGCGGGTAGCCCCGGGCATTAAGCGGCGAGCGGTGGACTTGCAGGGCTCCACGGCTGGGAACCCCTTGCACCTTCCTCGGGCACAGGCTGTGCTCTGTTCTGCGTCCCCAAGCCCCCGGCCAGGGACTAGGAGCCTTCCCAGGCTGCTCTCTTGTGCTGCAGGCTGGGTGTGGCAGCTCCATCATCCTCCCAGCAAGGGGCTGGATTTCTCCCTCCCCTCTCCCCACCCAGAGCCATCACTTTGGTTCCCACCCGCCATCCATCCCGCCTGCCCGCGAGCTGCCAGCGCGGAGATGGCTGGCCGCAGCCTCTAATC